TGAGATTTTTGACATGTCTTGCTTATTTGTTTGCTTCTCTGTAGCTGATGGCCGATGGGTTGCCGTTGCTTTACCATAGTTCTCTGCCGAAGAGATTCCTAAAGCGCGGCCGCTGAGTTAGTGGCCTGTGTTGCGGCTGTTGAGTGTCCCACTAATGTTTCATTGGTGTTTTGATGATGTACTATGGCTTTTGAGCCGATGCGTGCTCGATGGCTTTGTCTCAAGAATGTGGTGCTATTCTTGACCTCTGGGTTGAGGATGATGTACGTCTTCTTTTCTTGCCTTTGTGGATGATGAAGTTTCATTTTGTGAATGGGGACGATGCGTGTCCTTAGTTTGGCCTTTTATGTTCAGGTTTTAGGCCGAAAATGCACCACACGTCGTGTGGACGTTGTGGTGTTGATGATGCACCACACTCTGGATTCAGAATGTGTTGAGGCCGATGCAGTCCTCTAGTCCCCCACTCCTTTGTGCTGAAGAGCATCGTAGGTGTAAAGGAGTAAGTTTATTACCAGGTCGAAGTGGAACCACTCGCATCTCTCACGAAACCTCTTGGCGATCCCTGACCAAGGTAACCCAATGGGAGAACCCTTGAGATGAAGGTTGCGGTCCATAGGTTATTATCCGTGGGTTTTGTGCATGTGGTCGTAGGCTCTAGTACTTACCTTTTGCTACTTGGTGCTGATGTGATGCCAACCTCTTCCCGGTGCATCATAATTGACGCGGTGGTCGTAGTGTGACCCGTCAGTGTTTGTTTATTGCAGTCGTTTCTTGGCCTACTATCGCTTCCGTTGTGGCCGTTGCAATGCCTCTGATGACTTGGCTCTCTTGGGCCGTAGTGGGAATATGCAGTGGGGAATTTGAACAGGCATCCTTTGATTCGTTGTGATGGAGGTGATCGTTGGTGTAACCAATGGGTGAACGCCACATGTAGTGACCATTGGTGGGATGGCTATAAGTACCCCAAAACCCGAAGCAACCCCTCACTTAATCCCTCGCTGAGTACCGAAGTGCTGCCCATTTCTAGAGAGAGAAAGTGCTTCCCATATCCTTCAAGTGTTCTTCGAGTTTCTTCAACTTTTCAAGGTTAGGTTCATCCTTTGTTCTTATCTTTTCTCGTATATTTTGCTTCCTTAGTAGTTATGTTGTTCCCTGATGGCCGTAGCGTACCTTCCCCTATTGACTTAACAACGTCGTTGGACGAAGAGTATTGGCCCTTCTATGAAGAGGACATCTCTCCTCGGATCAATCTCAAGTTAGTGGAGGAGTTTGCCGAAGAGATGGAAAATACCAGGGAGTATCTTACAGAGGATGACGAGGAGCATCCAAGAGATGATGCTAATGTATCGGCTTCTGGTGAGGATGAGGCGGACTCTGGCCTAAATCTAAGGGGAGACGATGCAGCTGATGCCTCTTTGGCCGCTATTCCTTGCCCTCCCCCTGTTTCCTCACTTCTGGGTAGTGCCTCATCGTCTGGTGCAACACAGGGAAGACGTCAATCGCATCGCAAAAAGGGTTTGGCCGCTGGGCTCTCCCAGTTGGATTTGTCGAACCTGCACATCATCCGGCCGTAGAGTTCGCCTAGTGAGTACCAGGTGGCTCAGCTGTATGTTGGCCCCTACGGCCGGGTTAGGGCCCCCAAGCCGACAGACCACATATTAAATCCTCATGATGGGTACTTCGGGGTTTATCCAATGAGTTTCTCCAAGGGGGTGAGGTCCCCCCTGCATCCCTTCATAAAGGAGTATCTAGATATGGTGGACCTCCCGCCGGCCTTGCTTACTCTGAACACCTACCAACTTATTGTTGGGTTTTTGATACGTTGTGCCAAGCTGAAATCAGGCCGATGACGGCACTTTTTACAAACTTGTTTCGAATTGGTCGAGGGAGCCACGAGAACTGTGCTACTTATACGGCTTTGCAACAAGATAAGGACAAGAGATCTTTTGTAGACCTGCCGACGTCCATATATGGCTGGAAGGCCAAGCTCTTCTTTGTGACGTTGGGCTCCGGTGGGTCCTTCCGATCCCATGATCATTCGGGAATCTTCCATTTTCATGATCCGCCGAAGGATGCCGCAGTAGATGCCCGAGTGGCGGAGTTTTTGAAAGATGGGTCGAAGAGCGTGAAGACCTATATCACTGAGTATAAGATGGCCGCTCTTGGCATGGTAAGGTATTATATCTCTGGGGACCCTGACACCGGTTTGTGGCCGAGGATGACGGGTTACTTCGAGGAGACCGATGGGCCACATTTGGGTGTTCCTACCGAAGTCGAAGGTTCACTTTCAACCTTATCCTTTTATGCTTGCTTTTGATTTTCCTTTGCTAAAAATTTTGCAATCTTCGGTTTTGTAGGTTTCAACATGAGTCGCAGGATGTTCATGACCAATGCCGCCAAGCTGGTTGACTTGGAAATGAAGGCTGCTAAGAAGGCTGAGACCTCAAAGAGCTTAGCCGACGGCTCCAAGGGTCGGGCTTATGCTGCGATGAAGCCTGCTGCTTCAAAGAAGAAGAGACCCTCTGAGGGTCAAAGGACCTTGACTGAAGCTGGTCTTAAGCCGTCGAAGGCGGTTAAAAAGATGAAGAAGTCCTCTTCTGGAGGTGATGCTGGTGCTGATGCCAGCCAAGTTGCAGCCGAAGAGGGCCATGCTGCTGATGTCATGGTTGTAGATGACTTGACAGTGGGTGTTTCCTCGGCTGCCCTTACCGTGGCCCCTCTTCCTAGCAAGACCGCTGCGTCTAGGGCCTGCTCCGTCCAGGACCTCGCCAAGGGGCTATACAAGGTCACTGTTCGCTATCCGTCGATAGGAGGCCTCTTTAGTGACGACGTTACTGGTCATGACGTGATCTCCAGGCCATGTCCGATGATGATCGCCTTTATTTGAGCCATCAAGGTAACGATGTGCGGCTCTACGATGGTGGAATGGACTACATCGTCCAAGTAAGTAAGTGATCTTTTGTACTTAGCAATTTTTCATGTTCTTTTCTTCTCTTCCCTTATCTGACGTTTACTTCTTCATTCAGGGTGCTTTTATGCCGATGGAGCAGCATCGACGCTAGGTGGAGATTGCTCGCCTTAGAGAGGTGGAGAAGAAGGTCGCCTCGGCCAATGAGGCACTGTCCAACTTCGAGCGCCTCCGCTCCAAGTTTGATAGCCTAAAGAAGAAGGTTGAGGCTGCTGAGCAATTCCTTTCTGCAAAACTATTGAACATGTGGAACATTCCTTTCTAATGTGCCCCTTTGCGAATTCAATTTGGTTATTAGTTAAGGAACTCTTTCACCTCAGTTTGCGCAGGAATGATTTGGCAATTTCCAAGAAAGGTGGGAGATCCTCACAACTAATGTTTTATAGATATGTTGCATCGAAGGTTGGTATGATACATAATATATTAATATGTCATGAGACATTTAACCCAAAAGAAACCGATTAGAGAAGGTTGACAACCCTTAAAATGTTCAAAATATATACTACCTCCGTCCCATTTTATATGTCTCATTTGGTTTTGACATAATTTTTAATAAAGTAGTTGAAAAGGTAAAGTTGTGGTTAAGATTTGAATATAATAAAGGGAACTATTGTAATCCACATATTTCTTTTCAAAAAAGAAAATGTGACACTTATTTTGGAACAACCCAAAAAAAAAAGTAAGACAAGTAAAATGGGACGGAGGGAGTATCTTTTTTTAGTAAAAGGACAATTCATTGATTAAGGAGCAATGACTGAGAAGCATCAGTAAAGAGTACATCCGGGATAACACCACGAAACATACAGTTAAAGCTATGATCACAGCTATGAGCAAGATTATGTGCCACTACATTCTTTAAACTATTAACATGTTTAAAGGAACAATGAACGAAATCATTTGCTATCACAGAACCCATTAGAGAACAATCAGGTTATTACCGAAAAGGAGAAGGGAAAGGCTCCTATTAGTTCTATATAGTTGAGGGCTTTGGCTTGATTGTGCTCTTCTTCCTCACCCACCTTTACTTTTCCTCTTAAAGTAAGTCTAATTAAACATTATTAATAATAATATTTGCTAGTTATGAAATATCTTATTAAGTTTTAGTGTAAGTTTGTCCTCACTCAAAAAAAATCTTGATATGCCATTCAATCTACCACCAAATTTTCTTTCTTTTTCCAATTGGGATAACTTCAAACTATAGGGAGTCTTATTAAGTCACTATTTATTAAATACCTTGAATCACCAACAGTGTACAATGTATTTAATTGAATCTCATAGATCCGAAGTTTGCCTTCGTCTTTGTTGCTGATGGAAATTTTACTGTCCGTACAAAATGAGTGCATGCTGCATACATGTACTGATATTTCTTTGATAATGTTTTGAATTGCCCTCAAAAAATTGTGATATGGTCTGATTTGCTCTGGTTCAGGAAATGTTTGATTTTTTTGTTTTTTAACCATCAAAGTCTGATCTGATCTAGTCAGTTCTGATCTGGATTGGTTTGAGAGTAAAATATATCCTAAGTAAAAACATCTCTAAGTTGTATTTTATATAATTTTGAATTGGACTAGATTTTTCTGATCTGGTAGATGTTTGATTCATTTGCATTTCATATCTATTGAAGTCTTGTTTGAGCTCATCTCATTTGTTAAAGTCTGGTCTGATATGTTCTAATCTAATCAACATTATTTTGTTAACCAATATTAAAATTAAACCCTTTCTATTATTAAATAATTCAATTTCTAATAATTAAAATTTAACTACGGGAAACTACATTAAAATTTTTTCAAATTTCCAAATTTCAAATTCAAATACAATTAAAATTAATATTCTAATTAAGTGAATAAAATGAAATTGTTTTATTAAAATCAATTTACAAATCTATTGAAACGTAGCTGCCTACGTAATAAAGTGATAATGGACTAGAAAGGCCGCGTCAAGGACAAGAAAAAAATAGACGAGAAAAAGGCAATGCAGTCAATTGACCGGACCTCTTCCTCCCTATTTAAAGAGCCCAAAAGCCGTCAAAAACAGAGTCGGATAGAATAAGAGGATTGAAAAAATATACAGCATATATAAACTTGGCTGAGAAAGAGAAATTCAATGGGAGAAGTGGCAATTTGTGTGGATAATTATGATTATTACGATTCGGCAAAGAACGCTATATGCTTTTGTAGAATCTGCCATGAAGCAGAGTTTGAAAGCTTCAAGCCCATGGAATCTCCTTGTGGATGTTCTGGAACTGTCAAGGTATTCAATTTATACATACTTAGCTCTCTCTATTTTTTCTTTCATTTGATTCTCCCTACAATCACCTTTATAATATACTACCCATCCCGAAAAAATTTGACAAATTGACTTTTCTTAATTAATGATGGTAAATTTTGAACAATGATTTTAGTTATTATATTTGTATATAGAGGCCGTTTGGCAAACACGTAAATTTTGCTTTCGCACGCTGAATTGTGTAATAAGCCGAAAAAGTAAGGTTGAAATTACTTTTCGGTGTGTATTGGCTGAAGTTACTGTAGATGATCATTTTAGCTATTTTTACATATAATTTTTTCTTTATTTTATTAATAAAATATATTTTAAAAATATTATTTTCTTGTATCAACATCAGCCAATGCAGCCACTTCAGCCAGAACTTCATAAATTTCAGCAGAATCAGCCAAAACAGCCGATTTTCGTGCTACCAAACGGGCTCATAGTTTATAAATTTTATACTTTTATTAAAATATTTTCAATAAGAAATATTTTGATGTAATTTTCATATTCCAAATAATTTCGTATTAAAATGTATCATTAGTCAAAGTTGATTGTGATTCATCAAGAAAAGTCAATTTGGTAGTTTGTATTTGTATTTGTATAGAAAAACAAATTCTAATTATTTATTTGCTGTCTTAATTTACCAGTTTGCACACAGAGATTGTATACAGAAATGGTGCAATGAAAAAGGAAACACAATATGTGAACTCTGTTTGCAGGTATATAAAATTTTCCTTTTCTGTTTGTGTGATACTATGATTTGTGTATCTATTCAAACCTTAATTTCTTCATTTTTGAAAGATGAAATTTGGTGGGCTTTGTGCTGTACTCTGTTTCTTCACATGTTTTTTTCTTTCTGGTGGTCATGATGACAAATAGGAAAGAGAGAATGCTGACCATTGCTTTTTCATGGATGTCAACATTCATTTAATTTTCATAATTTCATCTCATTTGTTCTTTGTCTTGTCTAATTGTTTTTCTATTTTTCCTTGTATTTAATTTAATTCATTAATTTCTTATTATTAGAATTTATTTCTGGGTAGGTAAAGAACATATTTTGTGAAAGCACGGTCCAATACTATCGTCAATGAAAAGAAAAGATATTTACATCAGATTAGGTACACCAAGATTCCACGAAACTTAATTCAACGATTACTCATTCATATATTCGAACTAAATTTAATGTAACACGAATAATACTCCAATATAATTTTCTATTATCATATACGGACAAGTGGAGAACGAAGTATGAAGTACTATTTTATACGAGTATAAATATAATGTACTACGTATTTCTTTTGTTTCATTAAATTTTATCAACTTTTATAATTTACATGCATCATTTTAATGCAATTAATTAATTTGTTGATTCATATAATTTCTGTCTATTGTGCTCTAATTAATAAAACACATAACTTTTATCTATTTTTCAAGTGGTGTTGTGGCATCAAACTTGGATAAGCTTAAATAGTGGAAAAAGCATTATTAGTGACAAACTTGAGTGACTTGACAATGTTTATCCCTTAACTAATTTTAGCAAAAATAATGAGTGGTATATACCACTCTTATGCAAATAACTCATGAGACATACGAGTATGTTCCATAAAAATGCTCCGAGTTAGTGGCGAAATGACATAGTCTAAACCAAACAATTTACACATTTCAATCAATTTTAGGTAATATAAGAGTAAATAAGGTAAACACATCAGACCAGATCAGACCAGAATTGATTTTCGTAGTTATAAAATACACAGAGACTATACGTTTACCAGACCATTTCAGACCACATCAGACTAGACTAGACTAGACCAGAATTAAACAGATCAGCCAGACTAGCAAATTACAGTCTATGTAAAAGCATCCTTACTTTTATTTCGAGAAAAAAGAATGAAGGTCCTATTTTGGAATTCTCATTCTACAATCCAATAAACTTCCAACATAATTTCTAATTCAATACATAAATTTTAGTATCAATGCTAATTCAATAATCAATATATTATCATAAACTTTTGCTATTTTGTTTTGTTTGGGAGGATTATGATACTCCTCCGTCTCTGAATTATCTTCAAACTTTCTTTTTTCGTCCGTCCCAAAATTATCTCTTCCTTCCCTTTTTGGCAAAGAATTTGTGGTTCACAATCATTCTTACACATTCTTACACATTTTTCTCTCCTCTGCACAACTCTCCACCACACAAAACTCACTATCTTAATAAGTGTGCTCAGCCGAAATGGGAAATAAAATAGGGACGGAGGGAGTAATTAATTAGCGGCGGCGGTAGGAATTTGTAGAAGTTGATAAGAAGGAGGAGATGAATATTTGTCGTTAGTTAATTGACAAAAACACGCACTTTATTCTTTACAGAGGTATGAACCTGGGTACACAGCGGCCCCACCGCATAAAATGGCTGGCGCAACCACTTTGACAACTAGGTACGGAGAATTATACTCGTATTGTCCAATTAATTATTTCATTTTGGACAATTATTAGGAGCATATAAATTATGATTACTCTTTCATTTTAAATTCAAACTAGATATGTAATTTATCTAATTTAAAATTTGATTGGTTTTCGGAATCATGTATAATGTGACGCAAAAGCAAAATAAACTCAGTCTAAATATAGAGTCTGTTTGATAATACTAATATTGGTGGAATGAGTTTATTTTGCTAAAATTAATTAAATTCTAGCTGAATAGGTTGAATAGGTGAATATCCCGAATCATGAAAAAAAATATTCCATTTGTTAAATAAATAAAAATTATAGGGAAAATAGTATAAATGGTCTTCTACATAAGCTTCTCTACTAAGCATAATTGTTATGAACCCGATTTTATTGAATTCATAGAGAAACTTCTTAATTATTTTCATGTCCTCTAATTTACTTTATTATGCTCCTCAAAATATATTTTTTAATATTCCTCATTCAACTTGCTATGAAATATGGAGTACATATTTTTAAAAGTAAGATTTTACATTTTACTTATTATTTCATCACATTGAAAACGTCATTAATAATGACGTTTTTAATTGAATTAAAATTTTCGGGTTTAATTTGGTCTAAAGTAATAGGATCCGGTAGATTTCTCTTTTACATTTTATGTGTCCAATTATTATTAAAGTTTGATCTGATCTGATCTGATTTAGTCTGAGACTGAAATCAATCTAATTAAAAACATCTTAAGAGTAAACAAAATTTGGAATTTGTAAACATATAAAGACTTCCTAATTTAGATTAGGAATCGATCTATTTCAAAAGTGACGGAATCTAGAGTCATTTGTTTCCATTTCAATATGCAATCAAAAATAGAATCCAATAAAAATAAAAGGTACGTGGTATAAAAATAACTAAATAATTGTTATATATGATGGATGACATGACGAATTATGTGGCGTTTTGTATGCTATTAAAACGTTCCTCTTATATATATATATATATATATATATATATATATATATATATATATATATATATATATATATATATATTCATTAATTAATAATTAACTATAGACGGAGTTTGGAGATCCCATTCGTAGAGGCTGAGGAAGATGGTGATGATGATGAGCAATATAATGCCTACTATTCACAATGTTTATTCGACGGCGCAGATCAGAGGAGTGGCAGTTCCTGCTGTAGATCAATCGCTCTCATTGTATGTAAGCAAGCGTTTATGATATGGTCTATATTTCTGTATAAAGGTTTTACAATAATAACAACTTAACAAGTAAATAAACAATTAAGAGTATCATAATATTCAAATCAGTTGAATTGCTATAAAAAAATAGAGTATTATTTAATTTGAATTTGAAATCTTTTGTCTCATTTTTACCTAGCTATATGCTAATATGCTCCGTATCAATTTAGAAATAATACCTAATATAAGACCAATTTTTTTTGTTTTGTTTTTTTACCTAATATAAGACCAAAATAATAATATTGGCCCAAATAAAAAAGTTGATTTACTAATTTTTAGTGATTATAAATATGTTCAAATTTTAAATCATAGTGACTATTAAAGTGTACCTATAGTCACTTTAGTCAAATATTTATCCACGTATTTTATTTCAAACAGTAAAAATTATAAGAAAACCCTCATGAATTATTAATATTTTTTTAATACGAGTGTTAACTTTGCAGTTCACATTCTTGCTTCTCATGAGACATGTATATGAAGTTGTTGCCCGAGAGGAAAATGATAATACATTTTCACTTCCAACTGTGAGTAAATTATAATCATTGTTATTTTAATTCTATGGTTTCATTTATTTATCTTGCGCATGCAGTGGATGGATGATGGATCATTTCACAGATTATATATACACGAGACTTTATATAGAGGCTCTGAGTTCATACAATAAAATTAATTACAATGTGATGGAAAAAGAGAATATAATTAAAATAGATTTTTCTTCAAAATATTAGTGAAATGAAACTTATTTACAAAAATATAACTAATAGTTACGTACTACTATAAGATAAGTGCACAATCGTTCAAGTGTAAACATTGAACTTGACTCACTATGACTAAGTTTTTTTAACATAAAAGAATGGTCATTATATTAAAATCAAGAACACATTCAAGACAAACTTCAGATAGAATTTACAGATCCAATCGTGAATCCTAGGAGTAGACATAGAGTCAGCCACCTCATACTGATGGAGTAATGGGACTAGGCCCAGAGCCTACAGCCCAAGCCCCGAACTTGGACCCGTGTATCCAAGTCCACAACCTGGAGCCCGTCTACCAGCCCAGCGGGGAGCCTGCCAGTCCGGCCGACCTCCCAGCACGAAAGAGTAACGGTCAAACAATTAATGCGCTATTAATTATGTATTGAATTCCGTATTAATGTTGTATTTAATTAGTCATTATTATCGGTAGCGGTTACGATTTGTATACGCCTATAAAAGGCGGCTTGTAATTCATATTAGGAGACGACTTCTAGATGCTATTTCTGGCTACCAAATCCCCTTTGCAACTTTCCTTATTCATATTACTTTCTTGATTCCCGCTTCAGTGTCGTACGTAGATTTCCTAAAAGTCTACGAGCATCCTATTTTGGACCAACATTGGTGCTTTCATTGAGAGCCTCTGTTGTCTCTCACATCACTCTAGTAGGAATTGATCTCGAGTTTCAGAAAAAGGGGCGAAGATGGAAGGTTTCTAGCATTGTTCAGGTCTGTAATTCAAAACCTTAAAAAAGAATGCAAAAGCCCATGGAGGTGTGGAAGAAAAAGAATCTGGACTTTTTTTTCAGATTCTTGTGCGGTCTTGACAGAATGCAGCAGCCATGGACATTGTGAAGCCCGCTCACCTCAGTGCACCAGCTGGAGTTTTCCGCACCATTACAAGTCCCCTGCACTGCCACAAGTTGTAAGTTGTAACCTTCGTTGCAACAAAACACGGAGCCGTGATCTCCATCGACCGTCACCAGCAACTCTCCTTCCTCATCAATTGTCTCTCGCCGCTCGCCTGACGGTCAAGCTGGATCGCGGCGCTGCCAAATGCCTGTTTTAGTTGGTCTTGCCACTCCTCCGTCCAGTAGGTTGTTATTCCGTGTCCGACATAGATCGACCTCGAGCCTTGTGGGCTTCCGCTATTAATGGCCGCTGGAGAGCTTTCTTCATGATCCAAGCCGAATAGAGCCAAAGGACCTCCGCATGAGCAGTAGCGACGGTCGATCCAAGGTGCTACTTCCTCCTGTTCTCTTTGCCCGCGAGGTTCTCAGGTTTTCTCCTAAGCAAAGGTCCGGCTCAAGTCAAAATAGGTGGGCCAAGACTACATTGAGCCCAATTTCAGCAACCACAGTTGGTGACAACTCCGGTGCCCATTTAAAAAACAAGTATGGTACCTTATGGGTACCATAGAATCTACCACCACAGTTTCAAACACACAAAGCTTCGGCCTAATTTAAAAGCTAAGTTCCTCATCCTTAATTTATTTATTATATATACTCGGTATATATATAAATAACATTACAAAAAAAATCATAAATTGAAACATTTGAAAAGATATTTTAAGTGATATGATTGCTTTTACTCTTGTTAAATGTGTGTAATTTTAACATTGAACAACGGACTTATGACATCTGATCACTCAAGTACGCCGGATGAGCACACACACTCGTACAATGGCCGAGCACACACACCCGCGCCACCGGGTCACGTCATATGGCTGTGACGATTAATAAGCTCCAATCTAAATGTTAATACCTCACACTCTTGACTTCTTACGAGTTCTTGCGTCCTCTTACCTCTTCCTACTGCATCACACTCCGAGCTCGGGGGACAAGTCACCCGTTCAAAAGTCTTTACTTGCGGGTTCGAACTACTAACCTCGGGCGGCGAGTTAAACTCTTGTTAGGGGCCTAGAGCCACGCTTTTCCAAGCAATTTTGTCACTTAATTGACTTTCACATTTCTCGAAAAGGTTGATATACTTTAGTTCTTTGGGGTTGGATTATCCGTTCGAGTGAGGAGTCCGCCTCACTTACTCGCGGATTCAATCTTTCTTTCGGAGACTGGGTTGAGGCCTAACTTGGGAACTTGATGTCACTCTTTTCAAGTAGTGAGTCCGACTCACTTACATTTTGAGACGTGGTTCGACACCAGGCCAAATGCTCTATTCTACACTAGTTTCTTTTATGTGTAGGTACAACTGAATGAAGTGGGGGACTGAGGGTCTTACTGTCTTCAAGGAAGCAAATGACGAAGCTGACGAGTCTGAGCCCAACGAGAAGAACAGTTCTAGCCATCCTATTCGCAGATGGCGACCATTGCAATAAAGGCTGAGGATCTCACCTCTTGCTTCATCTTGGGGGCGTCAGATGTACTCTTTTCCCCTTCATTAGGATTTTTTCCCATTGGGTTTTTTCCTAATGAAGGTTTTTAATGAGGCATCTCCCCAACACGGACAAGGGTGGAGATCTTCTAGTCTCAGAGAAGAGCAACTTACTTGGACTACTCCTTCTTAGCCGAGTCTACGACTCGACTAAGGGAGTGGAGGACTCGTGATGGAGTAACGGGACTAGGCCCAGAGCCTACAGACCAAGCCCCGAACTTGGACCCGTGTATCCAAGTCCACGACCTGGAGCCCATCTACCAGCCCAGCGGGGAGCCTGCCAGTCCGGCCGACCTCCCAGCACGGAAGAGTAACGGTCAAGCAATTAATGCACTATTAATTATATATTTAATTCCGTATTAATGTTGTGTTTAATTAGTCATTATTATCGGTAGCGGTTACGATTTGTATACGCCTATAAAAGGCGGCTTGTAATTCATATTAGGAGGCGAATTCTATATGCTATTTCTGGCTACAAAATTTCCTCTGCAACTTTCCTTATTCATATTACTTTCTTGATTCCCGCTTGAGTGTCGTACGTAGCTTTCCTAAAGCCTACGAACGTCCTATTTTGGACCAACACATACAAAGCAACATGACTCGCTAAACCTGAAACAAACAAATTTAGGCCTAAAATGATCGGAATCGAAACCACACTGCCTATAAAAAACAAAATCCAAACATTCAAACCAAATCTACTCAGACTAAAACATAAACAAGTGCTACTAAAGAGAAAATAGTACTGAAATAAAATCTTTCCGAAAAGCTCTTCCTGGCATGGAGATGGTTCCGGAGGAGGACGAGCTCTTACATATGGGTGAATACCAACTCCACCATCGTTGGAATGGCCGACCAATGCTTCACGATCCTGCCTCGGTACAACCGCTCAACCGCATCTCGTTCATCCACCAATGCTACCTCCTCTAACGTAGTTGCATTCCCAAACGTTAGAACACTTAAAATCAATATAGTCTGTCGCTCCAGTCCCATCTTGATAGGGGCGGCGGATATCCCAACCCTTACGAAGAGGGAAGACGGCCGCTAGGGTTTCTCTCTACAGAGAAGAGAGATTGAGCTACTTAAAAATTGAAAAAACTAGTCACTATGACTAAGTTGATAAACAATATTTCTGTCACATTTTAAGAATTTTTTTATTTATTTTAATCATATGTGTGTAATTATTTCTAAAAATAATATTATTAATTATATACGCCTATAAACTAAGCTGTATCACTGTATGCCCCAATTCAATCTATTAGTTTGAGTGATGATGAAATTAAATCCAAGACTCTTTGATAATACAATTTAAATTAATGTTATTACGTATTTAAAATTTAGATTCTTAGAAATTGTATCAGATCCAAGTTGTATTGAAATGCATAAATTAAATCGAGCTTGAGTATATATATGTGTGCTTGGGATGCAGCTATTGATGATAAAGGCTAGTGGGATATTACTTCCAATGTATGTTCTTCTCCAGATTGTCACATTCATCCAGAACGCCATTCATCAACAGCACCATTTTTACAACACGGTTAGTGTGCGTGTATATATGAGTATATATATGACCAATGTTTATACTTAATTAATAGAATTAATTCCACTTTAGGTCCTCCGAGTTTTGTGTCATTTCCATATTTAGTCCTCGTCTTTCACTTTATCCATTTGTGGTACCTTACTATTCTTTTCTTGACCATTTGTGGTCCATTTCTGAGCATATTTACTATCGGAAAAGGACTATATATGGTCAAGAAAACAATAGTCAGGTACCAAAAATGGATAAAATGAAAGACGAGGACTAATTGTGGAATTGGTGCAAAACTCGAAGGACCATAAGTGGAATTTCTTCTTAATAATACTCCGTAAAATCTTAAATATAGCTTTGTTGTCTTCTCAATCGACTAAAATTGATGAAATTATGGCTGAATTGGCTAAATGTGTTGAATTATGAAAAGATTATATTTATAACAAATTTTATCAATAAAATAAACAATACATTATTTTGAGAAAAAACTAAATATGGGTGTTCTTTAGCACGTACATTCAACAGTTTAGTCGGATTAAGAATCCCAACCTTACTTAATTATTTTGATTATAACACGTGAAATCGAAAGTTTAATGTTCAGTATTTGCCTAGAGACATATACTCTTTATATGTGTGTCATAGTGTGTGTGAGACCAAATAGCTAGTGTGTTAGGAAGAAAATTAAGAACACTTGGGAAAATTAAAGCTATGTTTTATTTTATTTTAGGAATTTGTGTGTGTGTGTGTGTGTGTGTGTGATCTTAATTAACTAGATGCATGTATGAGATGAGGGATGTATATGGTTTGGAGTTTGAGATAATCAGCTAAATTAATTTGTTTATCTGCAGGACTCTAATGACGTATGATCAAATTGACGGCACGCTAAACTTTTCCGTTAACTTAAACCATGTTTAATTTTGGTGCTCCTCTATTCAGTTTATTGTGTAACACCGAGTGTATATATATAGTACGATTGTACGTTTGATATAGTTTCTTTTTTTGGTCCTGTATATTATATTCTTGATATTATTGACTTATTGTAATTATTTTGCCCCATCTCAATCAACCTACACGCATATATATTTTGTTCTAACCAAAAAATATTCAAGAGATTGATAAATAAGATGAAATAACTAAGCAAATTACTGATCGAGTATTTAAGATGAAATATATTAATATTCTGAGAAGCTTATAGTAATCTGTCAAATCTTTGGTTGAATTTAAAAGTGAGATTTCTCAAATTAGGAGTAAATGAAGTTTGAAATTATTTACTGTCATCTTGTAGTCGTGACTGTCAAATAGTTACAGTACAGTGCATTTAACATGACAGTATTTATTATAATTAATGACATTATTTTTCAATCATGGCAGTATTTTTCATACATGACAGTAATAACTCCTATTTCGGGAAGAAAAACATACTAATCTTGTTTTTGGAATTCCAAATGTCATTTGCTCCTATTTTGGGTAATTTTCCAATTTAAAAAGGGGAAAAAATCTTTTGATTATCTTGCATGAATGATAATATTAAATGGAATTGATTCTTTCCCTTTTTATTTATTATTGTTTGAGAATTTGTTTCATGTTTTGGCCGCTCTTGCTTTCTTTAACTGGTTGTACTCTCAATTAGACCTCTACCACAATCTATCTTCTGGCCTCTACGAAGCAAGAACACACACATACATAGATTAATTATAGATACATAGAGGTCATTTGGCAACCCTCATTTTCGGCTTATCAGGCTTATCAGTCAACTTTTTTACCAAACACGTAAACTTTGCTTTCACGCGCTGAATTGTGTAATAAGCCGAAAAAGTAAGGTTGGAGTTACTTTTCTGGCTGTATTGGCTGAAGTTACTGTAGATGATCATTTTAGCTATTTTTGCAAATAATTTTTTCTTTATTTTATTAATAAAATATATTTTAAAAATATTTTTTTCTTGTATCACCAAAATCAGCCAATGCAGCCACTTCAGCCAGAACTTCATAAATTTAAGCAAAATCAGCCAAAACAACCGATTTTCGTGCTACCAAACGGGCTCATAGTTACCGTATGTACGTGCTCGCCTTGCAAACTTTATTTGATCCGGTCGCGTCCAACGTAACATATGTTTTGCAAGAGAGACGCTCTTCATCAATGTAAGCCACATATTTATACAAACGATATATGTTTATATATATATATATATATATATATATATATATATATATATATATATATATATATATATATATATATATATATATATATATATATATACACACACACACACACACAGACACACACACACAGTTACATATATATAGAGATAGAGAGAAATTCTAAGGTCCAACACGTTTCCGTCCGAACGCCGTCCGAACACCGACGTTTAGGACAGTTCCCGATGGATTTTTTTGATGAAAGTTTATAAGCATGTTTCTCATCAAGTCTAGTTTATACATAGAAAAACACAGTTAACTTCAACAAATTATTTGACTGCCTTCCCGATCGAATTTTAAGCTGAAATTTGGTATGGATAAACTAGACTTGATGAGGAACATGCTAAAAAAATTCATCAAAAACTTCCAACGGGAACCGCCCCAAACGGTGGTGTTCGGACGGCGTTCGAACCGGGGCTGCTAGCTGGACAGGAGAATGAATACACACACACACACAAGAGGAATGATGTTATCCAGTCGGAGGGACAGGAGGCGACGTCCGGACGCCACCGTTTGGGGTGGTTCTCGTCTTCCCGGTGGATTTTTTTGATAAAATTTTTTAAGCACGTTCCTCCTCAAGTCTAGTTTATCCACACAAAAAAATCAGCTAAAAGTTCAATCGGGAAGACAGTAAAATAAAATGCAGTTACTTTGAAAAAATTATTTTACTGTCTTCCCAATTGAATTTTTAGCTGAATTTTTGTGTAGATAAACTAGGCTTGATGAGGAACAAGGTCTAAAAATTCATCAAAAATATCCACCGAGAACCGCCCCAAACGTTGGCGGCTCGACGACGCCTCCTGTCCAACCAGATGGACATAATCTTTTTCCATGTACTCCGTACTAATTATAAAAATATAATCTACATATACTACTCCTTCCGCTTTAAGAAAGTTTGTTAAATTGATTTTTCTTGACCAATGGTAGTCAACTTTAATCAATGATATTTTTAATAAAAAATTATTTTGAATATGAAAATTATAATAAAATGATGCTCATTAAAAATATTTTCAGAAAAATATAAAACTTATAAATTATATATAAATATAGAAACTAAAAGCATTGTCCAAAGTTTGTCGTAATTGACCAAGAAGAGTCAATATGGCAACCCTTTTTGGAAGGGATTAATGTGCTTTTTCTCGCACTTAAAAAGATTGTAGAAAAGTGGTGAAAGTACGAGTATCGTCTTCACAGGGACGGTAAAAGGGAATTAAGGACTAACTAAAATCAGCGATAAAGAATAAAGTGTGTGTGAATGTGTCCTAGAAAAAATTAGATCTCTCTTAATTCATCCTACATGCGATTGTAATTCTAGTGGCCATCTAGGTTACAAAAGATATCAATTAAATTACTCAAACACAAATTAAACGGCATTCAATTCATGCAATTTACATCATCAAGAACCTAACCATACATCGTGATTAACCTCTTCATCAATCCCAAATCCCTAATTAAAACTACTCCCGACTCATATTTGAAGAATCAATAGAATTGGGAAGAATAGAAATAATTGCCATTAATTAAAAAGTAGGAACTTACAAAGGATCTCAAAGAATAGAAAAAACCAGGGCTAAAAAGCTCTCAAATTCGTCCTTCAGCTGCTAAATAAGTTCCATCCCCCTTAATTAGGGTTATGGGGGTGGTATTTAAAGGAAACAAGGTAATTTGGGCTGAATTAGGACAAAACGGGGTCAGGCACGGCGCCAGGCACGACCGTGTCTGCGGAAGAAACCCGTTTAAACGCGTTCAGGCACGGCGTGCCACTACCAAAAAAATACGCCATTGGGTCGGATTTTGGCACAGAACGCTTCACAAAAATCCCAGACTATCGCTGTTGGCACGGATTAGGCACGGATATGGAATCCGACGCACCTAGCTCGTGCCAAATGCTTTGGCATGGGAAAAAAAATCCGCGCCAACTCTTGGCACGGCTTTGGGCACGGAATTTCAGAGACAACAACACCGATTACTACCCCAAAAAATTTGGCTCGGATTTACCTTTGCACGGATATTGGCACGGAATAAACCGGGTTACCGAAATCTTTACCCGTTTGTTGGCTCGGATAAGGTCGTGCCAAATTTTTAACCGAAACCCGTTCGGGATTTTGGGACGGACGACATCCGTGCCAAATTTAATTTAAAAAAAAAACAGTACACCGTACATATGTACGGAATACCGTACATATGTACGGTGTACAATTTTTTTTTCTTCAAATCATTATAAACAAAACATTTAACTGGGAAACATATAGAGCAAATGAAAGATAAACATTATAGAGCAAATGAAAGTGCAAAAATTAAGAGAAGATTATTTTGTTACAACAGTCCATGCAGATAAACCACTGCCAAAATAGAATTAGAAATGGCAAATAAATTGCCGGAAGATGTCCAGAAACAGTACAGAAAATTAAACAGTTTGTTCATTACACAAATAGATCAGACATCCGCACTTCATTCGAATCATGTAGCCCATTCATTTGGGCGGAGGTCGGGGTAAGAAAAGGAGAGAAATCAGGTAGCGGGACAGAAGGGTTCGAGCTTCGCACTTGCTCCATGTACGCCGTAAAAGCAGAAGTCATGTCCGCCATCTGAGTTTTCCACTGCTTTTCCTGCTGCGCAAACCGGGCTTCGAGCTGCTCCTTGATGCGGGAATCGATTTCTACTTGAGTCGGCCCCGATATCCTGCTGGTGCATTCAAGGTCAGACAGTGCTTCAGCTTCAGATCCCGTCCCAAACCGCCTGCCTTTGTACAACGGGACCACCGCGCAAAACAGCTCAGAATCATCCTCTTCGTAAGACTTCATTTGCGATTCAGCCTGGGCTTTCATCTCATTGTATTTTTGCTGCACAATCAGAAGATAGGAGGTTCAAATATATTCATTCTAGATTACTAAGACATATACTTTTTATATATATTAATAAGAAAACAAATCGATATATAGAATTTACCTTGGTTTCAACTACACGTGCTGGGGGGTCACCCGATTTCGGGACATAAACCTTGTCAAACACTTCAATCTTCAAGGGGGGCGTATTCAACTCCTTCGTCTACAGAATTAAAGATAGGAGATCAATAAAAGGTAAAATGCAGTTGAATACAGTTCAATTAAACTCACCAGCCTTTCAACATGCGTAGTCACCGGTATCCTGCCACCGCGATATTGTGATTCCTTCCCAGCTTTAGAGTTCCTGTTCTTCTTTCCAACTTGGCTCTTTTTCATAAAAGCATCAGAGGCCCAATATTCTTGCAACAGCTTCCAATCTCCATCTCCAATCCAGTCCGGCTTCTTGTTCTCCCGCCTAGCTCTGCCAATATTTTTGCTCAACCATTCAGAGGCCCAAGACTTGAACTTCTTATTCATTTTGGTATCAAAGCAGGGATCCCACTCATACTTTCTCTGAAAATACAAAAAAGACTTCATCAACCTCATAACTCACAATCTGTCAAATAAAAACTAAAACTAAGTACCTATAACATACCTGAAACAGTTTCCACCAACGGTTGCATTGATCAGCGTCCGCATGCATATAAGAACGCCATGGCCCGTGGAAATTGTTAGTGAGGATTGAAATGATGTTGTTGAGGACAGTAGGATTGCTTCATCAAAAAAGAACATATAAGTGTAATGTATAGATACGAATTTATTATATAAAAAATGCCTTGTGAAGTTTTACATTACCTTCTCATTTCAAAGGGTGAAATGAAAGTCTTTTGCTGAACAGATTCATCAGGAGTCGAAGAATCAAAACCACTTAAATGATCATCAGTAGGGTGTCGGGATTGGACAGACTCACGCGAATGACCTAGAAAGGAGTTCTGCTCATTCTGGACAATGGGTAGGCTACCTCTAGCTCCACGACCTCCGTCCCAATTGCGCGAAAAAAAAACGAACGGTTTAAATTTTCAAAAATCCGTGCCAAACTGAAAAGTCGTCTGAAACTCTG